CTGTAAAAAAAAATTTCCACAGTAATACTCAAGCTGAAATCTATCTACAGTACTGTAGTGCAATAGGTGCAAATCTGTAGCAAAAAGTGTACCCTGAGATAAAGACCAGTTTTGTAGTATTGATGTGATAAAACATAATCCTAAGATATTAACCCTTTGACTATCGCAAACACATATCCTGAAGTGTCTCCTGGTGTCAAAAAATATTTGAATAATATATATATATATATATATATATATATATATATTATATATATATATATATATATATATATATATATATTCTTATGAAATGATAATCTTTTCCCAATGATAATGACACCAAAAGTATGAAATTTGATGGAAAACTTACGGAAATACACTCTCGCGAAGTTAGCGACCTCAGCGACATTTACGCATCGGTGATTTCGCCCACTTTGAGCCCTATTTTCGACCAACTAGATGGTTCCAGTCCACCAAACTCATAGCTGTTTGTTCTATCGATTGAGTACAAGAAACTGCCCATTTACCAATTTCAACTACCCAATAAAGTGGTCAGAAATTGGCAATTTGGCCAATTTCATGCAAATTAAAAAATATGTAAATTTCAAACTAGGGTCCAGAATGAACAATGCAAACACTCCTGGCACTAAAATAACATTTTCTCTATTTAATCAGTCACTTCTCCAGCCCCCTGTTATAATGCTCTTGCTTTCTATTTTGAATTTTTATTCACACAAAAAAATAGAAGATGTACTGTTATGCAGACTACTGCAATATTGTAATAATTGTATAAATAATGTCAACCCATTCATGACTGCATATTAGAATGGATAGTTGGACATTTATTGGACAATGACGTCATTTGTTTACTCTTGAACATCAGCAAAAATCGAACATTTCTGCATCTTTGAGCTCCATTTCAAGATCCTTTTCATAGTAAAATCAATCAAAATCACCTCTATTTCAATATTATGTTTTCCATTCTATCAAATGAGACCAAGAAAACAAGAATACAACCATAAATACTATATGAAAATACACCTCAAATTTGGCATTTTAATCCAAAAACACTGAGTTTTTTTTTTTCTCATTATGCACTGCGTGCTGCAGGATTTTTTTTTATACTGCACACACTGACCACACAGACCCATTCTCTCATATGTGGGCCTACCAGCTTTCTCCTGCTTGACTTGAAGCCGCTAGAATTTTTGAGTATATATACGTCAAACACATTGGCTCGTAAAACGTACACATATGGCCAAAACAGTCAAAGGGTTACAAGGTTTAAGCTCTTAACTCTTTCATAAGACATGTCATAGTACTACAGCTTTGAGGTCACTATTCATGCCGTAGTACTATGCCATGAGCTCAGCTCACTCGGATAAGCTGCGAGCAGTAAATTTGCGCCTAGATATGAGCGAATGGGTCTGTGTGGTAAGTGTGCAGCATACAAAAAAAATTATGGAGCACACAGTGCATGAGAAAAAAAAATGCAACCATGTTTTTGGTTTAAAACAGCAACTCTGCGGTGTATTTTCATATGACTTCTATGATTGTATTTTCGTTTTCTTGGTCTCAATTGATAGAATGGAAGATATGTTAAAAAAAATAGAGATGATTTTAACCCTTTCAGGGTCCGTCCCGTAGATCTACGGCTTTACATTCAGGGTCCAAACCGTAGATCTACGCCATGAGCTCAGCTCACTCTGATAAACTGTGAGTGGTACATTTAGGCCTAGATATGAGAGAATACATCTATGTGGTATGTGTGCACCACATAAAACAGATCCTGCAGCACACTGTGTATAATGAGAGAAAAAAAATGAAATCATGATTTTTTTATTAAAACAGCAACTTTGCAGTGTTTTTTCGTATGTTTTTTATAGTTGTATTTGCGATTTCTTGGTCTCATTTGATAGAATGGAAGACATATTACAGAAATAGAGATGATTTTGATTGGTTTTTAGCACTGGAAATGGCTTGAAACTGAGCTCAAAGTAGCAGAAATGTTAAATTTTTGCCGATATTCAAGAGTAAACAAACGACCTCACACATCTAATACACGTCAGCTGGTGGGTCTAATATACATTCACAAATATGGTGATGATATTTATACAATTATTACAGTATTGCATAACAGTAAATCTTCTATTTTTTGGTGTGAATAAAAATTCATTATGTGAATAAAAAATCAAAATGGAATTTATTTGTAAAGCCTCAAAACATAACTAATGAACAGAGGACATGTTAGTTTAGTGCCAGGAATGCCTACATTGTTCATTCTGGACCCTATTTTGAAATTAGAATATTTTGAACTTTGTGTTAAATTGGCCAAATTAACAATTTCCGATCACTTTATTTTGTAGTTGAAACAGTTGGCTTGGCGATTTCTTGTGCTCAATCGATAGAATAGAAGTAATACTAGTGAAATAGCTAAGAATTTGGTTGATTGCAATAATGTAATTGGCCTAAAATGGGAGTCAAAGTCGGCAAAATCGCCGATTCGTAAATATCGCTGACACATCAAAATTCGCGAGAGCATAATTTCGTCAATTTTCCACCAAATTTCGTACTTTTTGTTTTATTACCTTCACAAAATGATTCTCTACGATTTCATAAGAAAAAATAACAAATTTTTTTTTTTTAAATTCTTGGACACTGGTGCGTGACTCCAGATTTGGGCCTTGGACCCTGAAAGGGTTAATTGGTTTTAGGGCAGAAAATAGCTTGAAATTGAGCTCAAAGTAGTGGAAATGTTCGGTTTTTGCCGATATTCAAGACTAAACAAATCACTGACAAAACCTACTATATTATGTTTGGTAGCAGAGCAGGAGATGCACAAATTAACATTAAGATCGACAACACTCTAATTACCAGACATAATGAGGGCAAATTCCTAGGCCTATACCTTGACAACAACCTGAATTTCAGCACCCATATCCAACACATAACCAAAAAAGTATCCAAAACAGTTGGGATCCTCTCCAAGATACGATACTACGTGCCGCAAAATGCCCTTCTCACACTATACCACTCACTTATTTATCCATACCTCACCTATGCTATTTGTGCTTGGGGATCAACTGCAGCAAACACACCTAAAGCCAATAATAACCCAACAAAAAGCTGCAGTAAGAATAATCACTAAATCCATCCCTGGCAACACACCCCCCCACTCTTCATAGATCTAAACTTACTCCCTGTTCAGTACATCCACACTTACTACTGTGCAATCTACATCTACAGGACCTTAAACTCCAATATCAACCTTGACCTAAAATGCTTTCTTGATAGTTGTGACAGAACCCACAGGCATAACACCAGACACAAACATCTCTACGACATTCCCCATGTCCGACTAAACCTTTACAAAAATTCAATGTATGTCAAAGGCCCTAAAATCTGTAACACCCTACCTGAGAACTCTAGAACTGCAGACACATTCATCACCTTCAAAAGTACCATTAGAAAACATCTTATCTCCCTGATAAACCCCATCAACTAACTACACGAATACCACCTGGTGGTTCACACTTACACTCACTCACCCATTTGACCATAAACAGAAATATTAATCTCAATCTTAAAATAATGAATCCTATGATACTCCAATACTGAAACTATGTACTGTGCCAAAACAAAAGCATTCACATTGCTAAACTCACAAACTAGTATTTAGTCACTTAGCCATAATACCAACTTACCTCATAATTTGTAATATTTTAAAATAAAGAATTAAACTAAGTCTGCCCAAAATGCCTAGCCATGCTAGGCGTTCTAGTGGTACACTCTGTAATTATTATTTAACTACATGTAAACCACACAACAACCAAATTCTGTAAATTCAACATTGTAATCTTTATAGAGAATAAACTTTGAATTGAATTGAATATTACTCGTCCAATACACGTCCAACTGGTGGGTCTAATATGCATTCACAAATGCACTTATGTTATTTATACAATTATTACAATATTGCATAACAGTAAATCTTCTATTTTGCTGTGTGAATAAAAAATCAATATGGAATTCATGTGTAAATCCTGGGAATGCAACTTATGAACAGAGTAAATGTTATTTTAATGCGAGGAATGCCTGCACTGTTTATTCTGGGCCCTATTTTGAAACTGGAATACTTTGAAATTTGTGTGAAATTGGCCAAATTACCAATTTCTGATCACTTTATTGGGTAGGTGAAATAGTTGATTGGGCAATTTCTTTTGCTCAATCAATAAAATGGAAGACATACTGTCAAAATAGCTAAGAATTTGGTGGACTCGAACAATGTAATTGGCCTAAAATAGGACTCAAAGTGGGCAAAATTGCCAATGTGTAAGAATCGCTGACACAGCAAAATTAGTGAAAACGTAATTTCATCAATTTTTCATCAACTTTCGTTTTTTTTATTACCTTCAGTAAAAGATTCTCTACCATTTCATAAAAAAATAACCATTTTTTTTTTTTTAAATTCTTGGACAGTGTGAACAAGTTTCAGATTGGGGGTCTGGACGATGAAAGGGTTAATGGCTGTGTCATGTAATGCTGCTTAACCCTTTCAGTGGCCATTACACAGAACCATGTCAACGAGGCCAGGGTACCTCATGTAGTTCTACATCATAAGCTCAGCTCACTCAGATAAGCGGTGAGCAGAAAATTTTAGCCTAGATGTGAGAGAATAGGTCTGTGTGGTGAGTGTGCACAGTGTAAAAAAAAAAAATCCTGCCTCATACAGTGCATGATGGGAAAAGCAAAGCTGATGGGAAAAATTACTGAAGCTATATCCTTGGGTAGCTTTAAAAATAGGTTAGACAAATATATGAGCAAGAACAGATGGATTTGAGAAGAACCCGCCTAGCATGGGCCAGCAGGCCTACTGAAGTGTTCCATAATTCTTACAAAAATACTCCAGGTGTGGACTGCTGATGCTGAAAAACCACCTAATCCCATCTGTGAGACCTAAAAATATTGCCCCTACCTCCCCTCCCTTGATGACTCAGGCAAATACATTTCAAGGTTTA